CGTTGGCTAAACAAACTCGCCAACCTTTTAGTTGTAGCTCCATTTCAACTTCTAGTTTTTTTGAACTTTTGCATTGTGACATTTGGGGTCCTCATAAGACTGCCTCCCTTACTGGTGCTCATTATTTCTTAACTATCATTGATGATTTTTCTCGTTTCACCTAGGTTTTCTTAATGCGACACAAACATGAGACACAACCTACCCTCAAAATTTTTTTGCTTATATTGAAACTCAATTTCACACCAAAATCAAACAAATTAGAGTCGATAATGGGGGTGAATTTTATTCCATGCGGGATTTCTTCTCTGACAATGGGATCATTTATCAACACTCTTGTGTTTACACACCACAACAAAATGGTGTTGTAGAACGCAAGCATCGCCACATCCTAGAAACTGCCCGAGCTTTGCGTTTTCAGTCTCATTTACCAGTTAAGTTTTGGGGGGAGTGTATTCTCACCGCCACTTATCTCATAAACCGTCTCCCTACACCATTACTTTCTAGAAAATCACCATTTGAGATACTATACCACAAACCACCTTCTTATTCCTATATGCGTGTTTTTGGTTGTCTTGCCTATGCCACGTCTGTCCATCATTCCTCCAAGTTCTCTCCGAGGGCTCATCGATGTGTTTTTCTTGGTTATCCCCCAGGTCAAAAGGCTTATAAGCTTTATGATCTTGAGACACATAAAATTTTCACCAATCGGGATGTTATTTTTCTTGAAGACACATTTCCTTTTGATCCATCCACCACCGCTGCACCCTCCTCTCCCTTATCCGATTTACCTCATTCTACACCTTTACCCATCCCACTTGATCCCATCACCCTTGACCATTCCACCACTACTCCACTAGATATTGTCCCCTACACTTCCACACCGCTTGACCCATCCCCACCGCCTGACTCATCCTCACATCCTCCTACCTTTCATCCCTTCACGGACCCCCCCCCACGGACCCCACCCCTGACCTTCCTATTTTTACTCAACCCACCCGTTTTTCCACACATCAAGAAGCCCAATGTTTGTCTCCGTGACTACGTTTGCTCGCAGGTGATGCTTGCCCCTACTCCAATCTTCGTCGCCTCCGTCATCCGGTTCCACCAAAGGTACTCGTTATCCCATTTGTAATTCTATTTCCTATCACAGATATTCACCATTGCATCTTTCTTTTGTTGCTCACATTAGTCGAAGTGTAGAACCTTCTTCTTTTGCAGAGTCTCTTCAAGACCCTCATTGGCGCGCAGCTATGGATTCAGAACTTGAGGCACTTTCTTCCAACAATACCTGGACTCTTACTCCGCTTCCTCCTGGCAAGCGTCCCATTGATTGTCGGTGGGTCTACAAGATCAAGCATAATGCTGATGGTTCTATCGAGCGTTACAAAGCTCGTTTAGTGGCCAAAGGATTCACTCAAGCCGAGGGGATTGATTATCATGACACTTTCTCTCCCACCGCCAAAATGATCACAGTTCGCTGTCGACTTGCTCTTGCCGCTGGTCAAGGGTGGTCTCTTCAACAATTTGATGTTCATAATGCCTTTCTTCATGGCGACCTTCAGGAAGAAATTTACATGTCCCTTCCTCCTGGTCTTCGACGTCAGGGGGAGAACCTTGTATGCTGCCTCAACAAGTCCTTATATGGTCTCAAGCAAGCCTCTCGACAGTGGTTTGCAAAATTCACAGAAGCTATCCTTGCCGCTGGTTTTACTCAGTCCAAAGTAGATTATTCTCTCTTCACCCAAACGAACGGTACATCCTTCACAGCTTTGTTGATTTACGTTGATGATATTATTATTACGGGCAACAATTTAGATACCATTAATGCTCTCAAACAGTTTCTTCATACTCGCTTTCGTATTAAGGATCTTAGCAATCTGAAATATTTTCTAGGTATTGAAGTTTCTCGTTCAAAAAGAGGACTATGTATTTCACAAAGAAAGTATGCCCTTGAAATAATCAAGGATTGCGGCCTTTTGGGTGCAAAACCAGTAGGATATCCAATGGAGGAAAACAAACTTTCAGATAAAGGTGAATTACTCAAAGACCCATCTTTGTATCAAAGATTGGTTGGACGGTTGATTTATCTTACCGTTACTAGACCAGACATCACATACTCCGTGCATGTACTCAGCCGTTTTATGCATCAACCGCGTCAACTACATATGGATGCAGCACTTCGAATTGTGCGGTATTTGAAGTCTGCACCAGGTCAGGGCTTATATTTTCAGTCAGATAATAAGTTAACTTTGAGAGCCTTTTGTGATTCGGATTGAGCTGGTTGTCCGATAACTCGACGTTCTACGACTAGGTATTGTATATTCTTGGGGAATTCGTTGATTTTGTGGAGGACTAAGAGGCAGAAAACGGTCTCACTTTCTAGTGCTGAAGCCGAATATAGGGCTATGGCTGGAACATGTTGCGAGCTCATTTGGTTACGTTATTTGTTAACAGATTTGAATGTACCCATTTCAGGACCTACCATTATGTCTTGTGATAACCAGGCAGCATTGCATATTGCTGCTAATCCTGTCTTTCATGAGAGAACACACCACATAGAGATGGATTGCCATTTCGTTCAGGACAAGATTTTAGACGGCTCTATAGCTACTCGATATGTCAGTTATTCTCAACAATTGGCAGACATATTTACAAAGGCCTTAGGCAAAGAAAAATTTTCATCCATGTTGGGCAAGTTGGGAGTTCTTGACATCCACTCTCCAACTTGAGGGGGAGTGTTAGAAAGTCAATGTAACTAGATAGGAATGTTTTATTTAATTGATTTGTAATTGATACTTTCTGTTATCGTATTCCTAGTTTCTAGGTCTTCTTGTTGTACAAGGAAAGGTATTGTATATATTGAGCATTCTATCAATGAAAGGATTTATTCTGGCTAAATACAGTTTTCACATAAATATTATTGGCCTCGTTTTAAGATTCTGTCTTCTTTCGTATGGTATTTTGAATAAAATAACCGTAATTCAAGTCAATTTTATGTAATTTTATTTATTTTTGTCCAATGTAATCGGAATAATGGGTGATACATTCCGTGTTAATGTACAAATGGTGAGATATGTGTGATAATGTTCAAATGGTGGGATATGTATGTACCACTCGTGTTCCAGTCACAATAATATTTTTTTTTATTTTACAGCGCTTGTGGGCCCACTTAAATGTATCGTTCTTACCACATGGGTTCGATGGGACCCACATAAAAGTCTCTATATTGCCACGCAGGATAAAGGAAAATGATCCTCGCCAGATCCTTTTTCTAAGGATCTCATAATCGTGTTCGTTTATCGTACATCGTACGGTTAATTTTTGTTAGGTACTATTTATATTTATTTTTAAAAATTTTAAATTTAAAATAATTTCTAACCGCATAATATATGATAAATAAATATGATTTCAGAATCTTTTGGATTCCCAAGAAAATAATCCTCGTTGTATCCTTCACAGATAAGGACTTGTTTTGTCATTGTGTTTGTTCTAGTTCGAAGACAAATACAATGGCATCCACGTGGCAAATGTTGGACCATCCTCTGGCGTTAGAATTTTTTTAGTCAAATAGTGCATTGACGCGGGTGTACGCCAGCCAATACATTTTGATCAGTTGTCACATTAATCCAACGACAAATTTTCAATGCAATCGGTATCAAGATAGTATATCATGTGTTATCATACAAATAATAGAATATGTGTGCTAAAAAATTAATAACTTAAAAATAAAATTTTTCATTACTTCTATAAAAACATGTGGTGTACCACCCGTATTCCCGTCACAATAAAAAATTTCTTTAATCCAACAATACTTCAAACTCGAAATAATTTGTGATTGATGAACAAAACTTTCTACTTGTAATTAGATATGTACTAGGAAGTGATGCCCACGCGTTGCTGTGGAATAAGAAAATTTGTTGGTAATAACAACTAAAAAATTATTAAAAATAGATTGAGCATAATTTGTAAATTGTTAAGTTTTGACTAATGTTGTATTAATTTATACAAACAAATGCATTAAGAAATAAAGAGTAAGTGAAATTGGATACAAACCTAGGTTAAGAATTTTGATAATGTCTCGCGTTATATGAGAGTTATAAAACTCTTGTAAATCATGTTATGATTAAATAGCAGTTTATTTATGAATATTATCATTTTTAAAATAAAATTAAATAGCGTTGTAAGACGGATCAGGTTTATGTAAATTGGTAAACTCAATTTTGATTATCTGGAGTAAGAATCATCATTTCTATCTTTTCTCTTCAGAGGAATTTAACTATTACGAATTTATATAGATACTTTCTTCTTCTAACTTAATGTGAATACATGACTAATTATTTGTTTGTCTGGTGAAAGGTTAAATTGAATATTCAAAAGTATAAACAGATATCTTTCCCCTAAAGATAAACCTATCCATATTTTTTAATATGTGAAAGAACATATTAGGTTAAAATATGTGGAGCGGGTATATCTCTAGTGTAAATGTCTAGTTTGATACTTTTGGATATTCAATTTAACGTTTTAATATGCAAGCAGGTAATTTGCCATGTATTTAGATTATGCGAAGAGAAGATAGTTTATATATATTAGTAATAGCTAATTCTTTTTTACATACCCCGATCCGGAATGTCCACTAGGACTCCGAATTGAGCTATGCTAGCCAACACCTGAAAGGTGACGAAGCCATAAAGTGTAGTGATGTGGAAAATGTGAATCAATTTAAACCTTAAAGTGCCTAAGTATAAGAGCGCACTGGTAAGCGGGAATGAACTCATATCACACGTGATGTCAGAGCGTAAGTAAAGTACAGTAAAGTGGATTGAGAATTATAGCATCGGAGGTAGTCTCCAATACCATATTTGCCAAGAATCCTTGTTGAAACAAAAGTTCAGCTGCTAAACCTGGAGAGGCGAAAAACAAAGGTGAGTGGGTCTAAAAATAAAGTTTTATAAAAACCTTTTCCAAAATAATAATAACCCCTCACCATAAAACAAGTATACTTTCCAAAATATACGTACTACGTATGGTAAGAAATTACTTAACGTAGCATACAAAATCTCAAGAATTCGATACGGCACAATATTTCATAAGTAAGCACATGATGTCTATAATCACATATGCTTGCATAAATAAACATATCACATCGAGTGCTTATTGACACGTGCTAACACACGAGTTCATGCAGAAGTAATCTAACATGAACGTTACTGGGTGTAATCATAATAAACGCTTTAGTACTACAATCACCTGAAGACTGGCACTAAGCGCATCACATACGAGTCGGAGTTGCCTATTGCAACCTGTTCGACAGGACTGGCACCTACAATGGATCCAAGGTGAGCATGCTGTGCAATGTGAACATCCACGTGAAGCTTGGCCCTAGCCTGGGCAAGTACTAACACCGGTGCAGCAACGATAAGCAAATAACACAAATATAATCATGCCACAGTGATTCGATAATTCTAGTCAACATCACATTATTCATGAACATAAATATAATTAAGGTATCCCCTTATATTAAGCTTACATGTGCATCTTGTAGGATTATTTCATAATTTTCCAACAATAAGACATTTCTTATAAACGTTAATTTAATTATGGCAATCATTTAGAAAATTCATTGATAAGTATATATGTGGAAACTAACCAACATATACACACACACACACTATATGAAAGAAAAGACCCACTCACAGATCATGTTGTCGAGTTGAACCAGCCTCGTAGCATCGAGAGTCCTTGCGATGCATTTTGCCTAGAAATGAAATCATTTATGTAAATAAGTAACGTATTAATACATAAACGCGTTTTCGTACCAAGTATGGCTAATAAAGAAACTATTTTAAAACGGTCGAATTTCAAAAAACGGAGGGCGAATTCCGGTCCGGTACGTCGAGAAACCTAATAAAGGACCTCGAGTTCTTCCAAGCGCTGCCACAATGTGGCTGCACAGGCAGCCAGGCGCCCACCCGCGTTCGAGTATGATTGTACTCGCATTCCTCGCGAGGGCCTGCGTTTTGCAGGTTGAACCGCCGACTTACAGAGCTCATTTCGAGCTTGGTTCTTAACCAAATTCAATGATTCAAGCACCCATTTAAAGCTATGAATATAGGGAATTGATCTATACCCATTTGAGGCTATGCTATAATCGGAGCTAGCCGAAAAAGTGATCCGAAAGTGCCACTACGGTGAAAAGAAGAATATAAGGCTTTGGAATATGAAAGATGTGAAGGTCTTAAGGCTTACCATGGTCGGGAAAAAGGATGAACAATGCCACAGCCACTGTACAAAGTAAATTCCATGATTGGGTTGCCTTCACGATTTGAGCTTTACATAGATAAGGAAGGACAAGGCACAATGATGATTTCATAGTCTGGTTCGCCTGAGTAGTTGGGTAGTGGTGGTGTGGTGCTACTGTGCACGAAGAGTGCAGAGAGAGTTTTTAGAGAGTTTGAAGGAGGGATGTAGAACAAAAGAGAGACAGAGAGGGACATGCCATGGTGGTCTGGTGTGGTAAGGATCGTCAAAGGGTTTTGTTGGCTGTCGTACTGAGAGGGAAGGACGAGAGAGAGAAAGTGAAAATGAGAGATGAGGGATGATAAATGAGGAGGAAGGAGAAAGTCCCAAAAAAAAATGGAGGGGACACAGGAGCATGGGAGAAATGGAGTGTGGGCCCCGACAGCTTACAAAACAACACACACACACACACACACACGCACACACACAAAAAAATATCTCCCAACTTGAAGTTACCAAATTGCCCTTCACGTTCGTAAGTTCGTAAAATCTTCACCGTATCTCCAAATCTAATTATGTTTGGGCTCACGTGTTCATCTTGTCGAGTACTACCCAAATACGTTTAAGGAATGGGTCGTACATCCCATTAAATGATGGTCAACAAAAGTCAACTATCCTCTTCTCAAGGGTATTTCCGTCAATTCACTTTTTAAAAATTAATAAAATTGTAAAATTAGGGACAGGTTATCACACTTCTGAAGAGAAAGCTTAGTAAAAATTGTAAATAAATGTAAAACGTCAATAAAACAAAATTAATAGAGTATTAATTAATTTTACGTACCTTTGAATATTCATGCCTTCTTTGCTTGAAAACGTATTTCTGAACGTTATAAGTTTGTTGTTGAATTAGCTACCTTTTTCTTTTTTCGTCCTAAAATTGGAAAACAAAGTGTTAAAAAAACATTTTATGGCAGTTAATAAATAATATATAATAATTAGTTGACACGGATGGAAAAATTGAGCTACATGCAGTACGAAAGAGTAGAAACTAAATTTTAATATAACAAATAAAAGACAATTTGTAATCCATTATCATGCATGATTATCTATTTTATGCTGGATATAAAAGATAAAGTCTATTATTACGAGTGAAGCTAGTGTTTTTGGTATGGGTGTTCTAAACCCTAAAGAATTAAGAAACTGAGATTAATGACAATTGAGAATTAATAGGAATTGGATCTTATTTTTTTGTTCTAGTTTAAGAAATTGGATCACCCAGACTTTAAAATGTGGTTAGAAAAAAAGAAAAAAGAAAACAAAAAGAAAAAAAAAAGAATCTAGAATTTAAAACTAAATAATTCAAAATTTTAAACTGCTTACCTTAAACACTTGGAATTGGAGTTACAAAATTATGGATCAATGTACCGTGCAACCACATAAGCAAAATTTATTTTGTATATAAGTTTTCAGCAAAAGTATGACTTTTGAATTATCTTATGCACATTGATAGGAAACTGCAAAGATGAAGAATATTTGAGTTAAACATGTATAATTTAAAATTAATACTAAGTTCTCAGATAAAAAAGTAACATACACATAGATGAAAGAAGAAAAAACTTACACTGCACAGATAACATTGATAAAAGATATTATATTTTTGTAATAATATACTATCCAGCTATAAAACTGTAATGTAAAAGTTGCTCTAGATTATAACTTAAGCAAAGAAATATGTGAAAAGAATGATTCGATATAAAATTTAAAGCCATAGTATTGACAGCAACCAAACACTTGTCAAACAAAAGGAATAAATGTAATCTTTCACACAATTTTAAGAAAGCAAAAAAGACTTACAAACACACTCAATTGCTTGAAACGTTGATAACTGAAAGCTACTTCGGCATCCAAAATTACTATAGCGGCTGAGATGGAGCAGAGATTTTTTCAAATTGCAACCACTATTAAACTTTAAAGCTTGTAGACAAAACCCTCAAAAATCATTATTTCCTCCAAATGAAAGACAACAAAATTATCTAGTTATACCTAAGATCTAAACACAGAAACAAAAGCCTCTAAAGCCAAAATGCTTTCCTTTTTCGCCTATACAAATTTATGAAGCCATCCCCTTTTTTTTTGGGTTTTTCAGCAATGTTTGAAGCTATAGTAACCAAGCTATCAAATAAAGCTAGAGCACCTTCTATCATATTGCCAAACACATTGTAACAACTACCATTCTAGTCATTTTCATCCCTCACTAATGTATGGGCTTTAAAAAAAAAAAAAAATTGAAGCAAGGTAAATACTGAAATAACTCAATTAAACCCAAAAATTAACCATGATCATTCATATGTGTTCCTGAGAAAATAAATAAAAGTCTAATTTTTCAACTAATTTCAACAATCATATTTAAACCTTAATAGAAAACTTACACTAAGCAAATAAATAAAGGTCTAATTTTCCAACAAAATAAAACAAATTGATAAAAAAAGAAGGTAAATCAGAAAAATAAAATAATAAACTTAAAACTTTCAGTTTAATGAAAACGTGAGTATATAATCACAGGTTAAGCTGAACCTGTAAAATGACTGAATTCCATTGTTTCAAGATTTCTTAAATTAATATAAATGGATAGGAACAAAGAGAAAAGCCATAATACAAAATTTCATTAATAAAACGCACTCCATTTTTTATCCAACACAATAAGCACCTCAAATTATAATCTCAATGTATCATGTAATTAAAAAATAGGAACAAAGGGAAAATTGAGAATACAGAAATTTCATACATACCCTTTATCATGCAACACAGGATAGAGCTCAAATTATAGTCTGAATATAGATAGAGGAAAAACCACTTACAAATATATAGAATGGCTAGTCAATTTGATAAACGAAAAGCAACTCAATGCAGAAGAATTGTAATCCGAATTTAAACGCAATAGAGATTTTTTTACAGTGATGTTATGTGATAACCCGTTCCAAATTTTACGTTTTTATTTTATTTTAAAAGCGTGAATTTACGAAATTGTCCTAGAGGCAAGGACTTTGAGTTCCGTTGACCATCGACTTGAAAGATGTGGGACTTATTCTTTTAGCATATTCTCGTAGTACTCATTGGTACGAACGTATAGGCGAAAGCCGTTTGCGAGTCCGGATTATAACGGTATAGTTACGGACGTTCGAAATTGGTTATTCAAGGTTAGTGTTTATTTAAATTAATGGGGGAAGCCCAATCAGAAATGGAGGGAGAAAAGAAAAAAAAATAAAATAAAATAAAAAGGAAGTGGTTCCCGTCCACCCGCACCCACCGCGGGTCCATTTTCCAAGGCCGATTCCGGCCAACTCCGGTGAAGTTTTTCGATGCCACCACCACCATCTTGAAGCTCTCATTCCCCTCTACAAAACCCACCCAAGAACCACCTTGATTAACCATGGGATGTGGAGGTTTGAGGCCACGAAAGTTGACGAAAATCAATGGTGCTCCGGCCACCCTTCTCGATTTTCCGGCAAATCGGCAAAGCAATGGCCGATGCCACCACTTGGGCTTTGTAGCCCATCATCCCAGGAGAAAAACCCAACCAACCTTGACCCCGTTGGACCACCGTAGACGACGAATCGACGTCAGGAAGTTTTAGGCACCCGCCGGCTTCGTGGGCAAAATTGACCATCTTCCGTCCACTTTTGGACTTCGTGGCAGGTATGAAAGTTGCTCTACTCACTGAGATCTTCATTTCTGAGAAGTTTGAGAATTTTTGGAAATAGTTGGATTTTCAGGCGAGTCGGGGCGGCCGACCGCCACCCGCGGCGGCGCGTGCGACGGCGAGTGGCCAGTGAGCCGCCAATGCTATTTTTAGGCTATGTCAAATGTTTTGAATTCAGTTTTGTCATTTGAATGACGTAGGTTGATCGTTGGAACCTAAATTCGTTATGATACGTTACTTGATAAAAATGTGAATTGATGATCCGACCGTTGGATCGTCACCAAAATTGGATACATTATAATACGTAATATTTAAAGATCATAGGAATTTACGGATCAGGAATCCGACTTACGGATCTTCCTGAATTGGATTTGTAAGTTAGTAAAATAAATGTTCACGGCCACTTGTTTTAGGCAATTGGCGGAGATCTGACCGTTGGATCGTAATGAAATTTTAATATGTTATTCTAGAAACATATTGTGGATCGTTGGAAGTTGTGGATTGAAAATCTGATATGCAGATCTTCCGGGTCAAGTTATATAGGGTTGTAAACCCTACCGTCGATCTTTGATCGACGGTTGACTTGTGGTCAATGGGTATCAAACTATTTCAGAATGTCGTTGAGGTTGTGTTTTATGTGAATTGCGTATTCTACGGATAAGAGTTATGAGATGTGATTTGATAATTGGCCACAGGGACCGATCATTCAGGACGCCTCGATGCGCGTGCTAGAGAAGTATAGCATGGACTCCAGGTGAGTGGATCTTTTCCTTTTTATTGTGCATATTATTGAGAGTTCTATCGACACTTTTAAATTGATTAGGTATATTACATTCATATAATTATTGTGAATGCTTGAAGTACCTATATGAACTACGAATGGCTTGATCCCTATTTAAGGTACGTAGGGAGTCTAACGAGACGTTAGATGCAGCCATAAAATATTTAAGACAAAAGCCTTGCTTGGGAAATTGAGTAATGCGAAGGAAATTGGTAAAGACAAGTTTTAGTTTTGTGAATTAGTTAGTTAAATTAGAGTTAATTGGGTTGTTATGGATAATTATCCCTGAAAATAAGTAGTTTGGGAGTAGGGCGTTATTGATTGTACACTTCACACCATATTGTTTATAATTGAAAATGCTACAACATAATTGAGTAGTAGATTGCATCATGATATAGTCTAAAAGAATTTTTGGGGTTGAATTGGTCAGGAAGACTTTTCATACACATTTATTTTTAAAACTCTACTATTTCGCCATCACTATCCCAACAAATTGATCATAACCACAAAAATGTAGTCTTATTTACTTAAGGCAAAAGAAAATCAAATTAATTTAGTTTTCTTCAGTTAAATCTGTTTCTTTTCCTTCTCCTTTCTCATCCCCTTATATCGACCCCATCTTCCTCACACTGTCACTAAGAAATTCACACACAACATTTCCCTTCTCTCTATAATATCACATCACAGCTCTCTCTCCTCTCCTCTCCCTCTCTCCCCTCCTCTCCCTCTCTCCCCAACTCACATAGACTACGTTTTCTTACTCTCTCTGACTCTTTCTCTCTTCCCAAAAATTAATTATATGATCATCCACATGTGTTTTCTAACTCAAAACTATTACTGTAATTTAGAAAAAAGAAAGTCTTGAACTTGAAAGCATCCAAGACACTATTCACCAAAATATTGTATTACATATTTAATTTCTTATAAAAATTATTATTATAAAATGACTTTCTTTAAAACATTGAGTAGCTAAGTATATTTTTAGTAACACGAAAAAATTGGTTGACATTAAAGTGCATATTAAATTTATTTATGTATAATTTTAATGTCTGAGTAAGATAGTAACACCAGTGTGTGAGATGTAATTCATCGGGGAAGAGTGGAAATATTGGTTGGTCACTGCAACTTTACCACGTGCGCTCGAACGTCTTGCACAAGATGGTCTTGTGCCGACCAAAAGCCACCTTGGCTTTATACCTGATCTGTCAGAATTGAGTATTAATTAAAAGTGAAAATAGGATTTGGATACTCTCTAGATCCTCTTTCTAGGAATCCCAAAAATTAAGGCACAAGAACCGTTCATTAAAAATCGTGCGATTATAATTAATTTTTTTTTACGCAAAACGAGATTGTTTTACTTTTAAAAAATATAAAAAACATTTAATTGTGGCTGCAAGATCTTTGATGAACGATCCTTGTGTCTTGATTCCTGGGATCCTCAGGAACGGGATCCGGAGAGGATCCAAATCCATAAAAATATGAGGACTAAGGGGGTTAGATGTCAAGAAGTAGGAGAGGGTGTTCCGTGAGGAAACAAACACATTGAGTTGGACGGGCCACAAGTTAGTAGATGAGACATGATACATATAAAGGTGAAATAGTTTAATTTGTATGTGTATGAAAAGACTAGACACACACGGTCCAATCTTTCAAAACTTTCTTACAACAGAGTCTAAGACATAATACCCTTCTGTTACGTTTTATTTAGTAGTTGCTGCTTTTGGTTGGGAGCTTCAAGAGATTTTCGGTATGATCGATACACACGAGTTAATATACCAAATATTATTATACAAATGATGAGATATGTAGGTTAAAAAGTTAATAACTTAAAAAATAAAAATTTATATCATTTACATAAAAACACGTGATATACCACCAATATTCATATAATAATCAAAAATTTCTCAGAAGCTTCACATCAGAAGAAAGAAGAATGGAAGATGAGTCATTCCCCATGCATAAAAGAGCCTTCCCTTTCATTCATACGTGGTGGGTGGCGGTCATGGCGGGGCCTGCAGTGGACTTGTGCAAGGACCAAGTCGATCTGGGACCCGCAAGCTTTTTCAGCAGGGAGGGCGTACTACAGACGGAAGACTCCGAACCGTTGATTTACAAAGACGGGAGACTCCAAGAGTGGAAGATCCCAGAGTCACAAGTGGACCGCGACGTCGTAAACACGCCATTAGTGCTGACCAAAATTAGCAGCTGAGGTTCATACGGCACTCACCTTTATTGTTATCATAGTGGTACATTATGTGTTTTTTATATAAATGATAAAAAAATTTATTTTTTAAGTTATTAACTTTTTTAATACACGTATTTTACTATTTATATAATAACATATAATGTACCATCTCATATTTCAACTATACTGAAAAATCTCTCAAATTATTGCCCTTCATCGAAGATTGAAAGTGAAAAAATTAAGCAGGCACTTCTAACATTTAGCAAAACGAGGTCAAACACGGTGACTTATGAACCTACTCCCAAGTCACGAGTCAAAAGTCAAAGGGGGTTACAGGACAGCATTCCATTGCAATTAGTTGCAATGGGTACGGCTTGTGATCTTCTGGACGTGCGTTATATATAAGAACAGAAGGAATAACAGAGCATTCGGTTCAATTGATTTGAGTTAATTTCTACCTTAATATCAAGATTCTCATGTTTCCAAGAAAAAAAAATATATATATATATATAATATCAAGATTCTCAATATGTAATGTAGGGTTCATTTGATTGAATCAAAATAACTTGAAACTTGGACGTTTAGCATTTACGGATTAACAAAGTCTCAACAAGTTTATAACGTGTATTAGTTATATGGATCATAAAACGCTACTGCATTGAGTTTTACGCCATATCTTCCATTAGTTTTAAGTATTTCTTTAAGTTGATTTTCAAGTCTTCTTAGGTCTTCTTCTATCCCTTTTTTCATGGCTATCCTGTTTCTCAAAGTCACATCTAATCGGAGTATCTGTTGGTCTTCGGTTCACATGTCCAAACCACCTTGACCAATTTTCTCTCATCTTATCTTCAATGGCGGTCACTCATACTTTACCTCGAATATCATCGTTCGTAATACTATACTTTTTTGTGTGCTTACACATCTAACAAAGTATTTGCATTTCAGGATACTTAGTTTTGTAGGTGTTGCTTTTTGACTGCCCCACATTCCGTATCATAAAGAATTGTTGGTCTTATTGCCGTCCTATAAAATTGTTCCTTTAGCTTTAGTGGCATATGACAATCAAACAATATGCGATTCATCCATCCAGGTTTGTATTCTATTGTTAAGATCACCATCTAATTATTAGTTCTTTTGCAAGATAAATCCAATATAACGTAAGCTTTCATTCTTTGGTTCATCCTGATGTCCAATTTTCATCTTGTCTCATTAAACTAGCATGTTTCATGTGAGAATATATTTCTAAATTGTAATGTGTAGTATTATCCTACTTAGGATAATCTAATCATCTACAACTAAATTTGTAAACCACATGATATGTCATCAACAAGAGACAAACACGTTAATTGACACTTAGTTAATAATTCAATAATTTACAATCACATCATTTAGTTTGCAAATTTAGTTTAAAAAATTTGATCTCTCTAATATTATCCAATAATTATAATATTCTTACTTTTACTGCAGTGAACACTCTTATTAATTAGTTTTAGGTTTCAGTTTTAATATACTTTCACATTTTTACAATATAGCTTCGTCTCTCTAACATTACCCTATGATTATAATATTTTTACAATATAGCTTCCTTAATGACTTGTATGTCGCTTGAGTACACACCCCAAAATTCACAATTAGGTTAAGTAACTCCTTATTACATGACTAAATAATCCAAACTTCGACCAACGTAAACTTACATATATAGGATTGATGCCCAAGATGGCATGCATACACTATTAATTAATAGATAAGTTGCAATCATTAATAGTCGTATTAATTACTACATGTACATAGAAAATTGCTGATTGATATTACACTTATCACATTTTCCATACTATATTGATACTTTCTAATAAAGATAAAGTCACAAAGATATATGGGTCACATCTTTATTAGAACAATGATACAAATATGATATGAAAAATGTGGTAAGAGTAACATTTCTTAAGTTGCATATATATATATATATATATATATAGGCATGCATGAAGGCGTCTTACCGCCTGCACATATAACAGTCACATAACAGAGCATGCATTAGGGTTTTCATCGCTGAAAATCTGATGGTGGGGATACGATGAATATTCTGAGTAGTACTTTGTTGGCCAATAATCGCTTCGCTTTATATCGACCTTATTGTCCTCTCCCTGCTTGTCTTCCTCCCCTTCTTTCTTTTCTCCTTCCTTCTTGTTCTCGTCTTCTTTCTTTTCTTCTTTTTTCTCATCCTCCTTCACAACAGAAACGTGCTTCCTGGTTTTTTTATACACATCCTCCGCAAGCTTCGCCGGGTCCATCACGCCTTTTACTACAACCTTGTTGTTGCCTACGTCTGTTTCCACTGACTCCACACCTACAATGTTTAAAAAGCACCCTAAAAAATCTTTCATGTTGATCGGGCACAAATAGAAAATACGATTCAACAATTTAGACGGCCCTTAAAATCCATGCATACCCCAGATTAAATCCTTAACATGTAAGGAACACAATGAGTGATCCGTTTTTTCATTTGAATACAACTATTTGTTATACACGAAGAAAGTTGAGGTTCCACCATAAAACCAATTGGAAACATGAGAAGTAACCCAAACTCTTATAAGTCTATAGATGGTCCCTTCTCTCATCAATATGGGTTTCAATCTCAACATATATATCCTATCCGTAATGCCTGCGGTAAAGAAGACTTATATATTGAACTAAAGCAAATATCATGAGCTTGGAAAATGAAAGATTATAATGAGTGATGTATGATGATACAAGTACCTTGGATCTTTCGAATTCGCTTCTGTAGACCTTGGGCGCATACATCGCAGTGCATCCGAACTTGCAATACCACTGAAACAACAGCAGGAGGCTGACAAAAGATCGTTGAATTGTATAAATAATATGTCACTTGTCAGAGATACAATTGTGAATAATATGAATATATATCTGCATCAAATAATTGATTCTTTAGCAGAAGATTGGGTTATACTAAATGGTTAAGCATTATCTCCGATGCAAGAACTCAAATCTCATATTTGAGATGTAAGGCAAAAACATCTCCAACGAACATGAACTCATATTTAGGTTTTGAGGAAAGTGAGACTCAAATTTGGGTTTCAATATGAGATTTGGGTCCTTGGTGGAGCCTATTTTAAAAGGAAAAATTGTATTCAACTAAGAAAATAGGATTTGAGTTTTGACTCCAAGCATCTCTAATGCTGTAATGCACACATTCCATTGAAGTAGAAAATCAAAATACGTATATCCCTCAATTTAAGGCGCCCAAATATATAGATAATATAGATTTAAAATTTGAGTCCACGCATCGGAGATGCCCTAACTACGTTTACTTCTGTAGCCGTACGTAGATTTGTTTATTTCATTGGTAAAGTTGATCTACTAGAGTCCAAGGTCCAAGGTTCCAATGTCAATCCGGGACAAGAGTAAAGGTGGACATGGGATGCCAACAAACCTAACTCCCAAAGTGAAAAAGTGGGGTTCATTACATACTAATACGCAACACGGTATAAACACAGGACAACCAGCCTCGACCATGGCAATGGCATGCTACATATTGCATATGCAGTATGAAGATGTGTATTGATTCTGTGTGGCCCTTGTGGGAGTGGAGGAGCACATATTTCTTTTAGTTTATTTGTTATATCATACATAGCCTGAAGACTTAATAGCAGGGCAGGAATGGGCCTCCAAATATAATAGTATAAAGTACAAAAAAACTACATTAATTATTGATGTCACGATATTTTTATACCTCATATTTTAAAATTGACAATGTCATACCTCATTTTTAGAATTTAGTCAAATGTTATACCTTCTGTTATTTGACTGTTTAGTTTTCAGTTAAATGATTGATCTGGATCTCACTTTTTATTAAAAAATTAATAAAATATTATTAAAAACTAAAAAGAAATTATTTAATATTTTTTAAATATTAAAAGGGCAAAAAAAAAAAAAAAAAAACCTCTGTACACCCCCCCCTCCCGAAGAAGAAGAGGAAGAAGGAGGAGGAAGAGAAAAAAAGAGGTCACAAAGGTTCCCGATTCCACCTCAACGGGATCTGAGTTTTTTTTTTTTCCTCCTCCTTCCTCCTTCTTTTGCAGATTCAGGTTTTTTCTTCTTCTTCTGGGTTGCACATTCGGGTTTTTTTTTTTTTTTTTCCTTCTTCCTCTTCTTCTTCCTCCTTCTTCTTCTGGGTTGCAGATTCGGTTTCCTTTTTTTTTTTTTTTTTTTTTTTGGTTCTTCTTCCTCCTTTTTTTCTGGGTTGCGGGAAAAGGACCGGAAGGGTGAAGAAGATGAAGATGGGGGAGAAGAGAGAGAAGAGGGGGGAAAAGGTACGAACAAAAGGTTTTTTTTTTTTTTTTTTTTTAACTTTTTTTTATTATTTTAATATTTAAAAATTATTAAATGATTTTTTTTAGTTTTTAATAATATTTATTAATTTTTTAATAGAAAAAAGAATCAGATCAAGCCACGTCATCATTTAACTGAAAAGTAATCGGTCAATTAACATAAGATATAACATTAGATCAAATTCTAAAGATAAGGTATAACATTATTAATTTTAAAAAATGATATATCCAAGTATCGTGACACCAATAGTTGAAATAGTTTTTTTGTACTTTATCCAATATAATAATTTTGTGCATGTATTTAACAATAAATTTCATTAAATTGGGATTGCAGCATGTACCGTACCAATTGCACTGTATCCTATGTAAGTATGCACCATACAGCTCGGAGAGTCTGGTAGCGTTTGTATCCCATTTTTAATTTTTTCTTTGGTAAAATAGGAAAGTTACGAAAAAAATACCTATTTAGTGACGTGAAAGTACATGCGTATAGAATTTTGGTTAAATACATAAACAACACGCTCCAATTTAAGGATATAAGCATATAGTTTTTTTGGTTTTAATTTCCCCAACCTTCAACAGCTATGGAAAAACAACTTTCATATTACGTGCATGACCGTGAAATGTCGTGCTAAATACTATAAAAGCCATTTCAAAAAGACTTGGAAAACATAATTGAATTATTGACGCAAATCTCGTCACAGCGTTACATGCATCGCAAATCTTTCTCCTAACGGTGAGTAGTGGTCTTTGTCCCAAAAAAAAAAAAGGTGAGTAGTGTTCTCGTGATATGTGCATGTGGATTGTGGAGTGGAGGTGGGGGTGTCATTTTCCTGACTTTGAATAGTAACTTTCATGTCAGTACTCAAACACGATATTCACTATTTTAGCTTAGCTAGGGAACTGTGATTTGCCGACCCCATCCCTCCACGCATAGGACCATACCTTACCGTTAAATAATGAATTTGAATCCCAATCCTCACATACATTATATCCGTTTATAAATTATTTAAAATTATTTTATTTAAAATTAAACACAAACAGTAATTAATTAAAATTTATCGCACAGTGTAATAAACTAATAAGATGTGAGGATTCTTAATATCCTTAATAAAGGATTCAGAGAGGATTCTTATCCTAAAATAATGAAGAGAAATGCAATTCTTTAAAAGTTCAACTCTTCGCTACGTTATGTTCTTAGCATAATTTTCATGCCAACAATACAAAACATTGTACAAAAAACATGAAATGACAGAAAATCTATAAAAAGTTGCAGTTTGAGAAGGGTCTCTTTAACATTCTCAATAATTAATTAGTTCAACTTAAACTTAAGTTGCTTCGTAATCAGTATCAGGAGAACACGATTCAAAAGTAGTGGAGACTGGCAGGGGAGACCCTCCTGGTGTCGTGGAGTGGCGTGAGTAAAGCCGCAGAGGGTAGTTTAAAATATATACGATTATTTCATGATTATGTTAATGTCTCACTAGTAATTATATTAATGATAATCTTATGGTGAGTGGAGACCCGGTGCGTGAAAAAAAAAACAGGCGAGTGAAACTGTGAAAGTCGGTTTTGAAATAATTACCTCCTCTGTTTTCGCTTCCTTGTCGGCTTCCTTAACTTGTTCTTCCTCCTTCTCCTCGGGAGGTTTAGGCAAAGGTGAAATGAGCTCTACTTTTTTGCCGCTCTTCTGTTGTAATCTTTCGCAGACCCTTATGGGGTCTGCCGCCTTCCCTTTCACCACCACCTTACTCGCCTTGCTGTCTGTCGTTACATCCTCCACTCCTGCAGTGCACCCACCGTCCACCACAGATTATTTACATTCAAATGCTCAAAATTCAAACTACTTACACTAATTAAACCCTCCTCCTACCCTTTTAATTGCTTTGTGATTAAATATGAACGAAAAGAAACACACTTTAAAAGTATTTTCTTCAAGAAAAACGTGCTAACTAACATGAACTACTCTAAATAAAAAGCACTTTTAAACTCAATTATATGTATTTTCCTAACTCAATTTGTTTTATTCGTATACAATTCAAAAAACTGATGAGGAAGAGGTGGTCAGAATTCAAAAATTAAAGACGGAAGTAATAATATTAATAATAAGGAAAATAACAAGTTTACCTTCAAAACCCTTCAAGGCTCGAGCAACTTTCCTTGCGCAAGCTTCACAATGCATATCGACCTTGAGTACAATCTCCGGAGGCTCTTCTTTCTTTTCTTCCTTCTTTTCATCTTTGCTTTCTTCCTTCTTCTCTTCCTCTTTCTTCTCCTTTAATATGTTTCCACACAAAATATATCAATACAAAAATCAATCAGGAAAACTCATAAAATGCCACTTAATATATACATGAAGCTAATCCTTGTTCTACCCAAACAAATTAAGGTATAAATACACAAGAAACCAACAAGAAGAATATTGAACATGGTTTGAAATACTAGACCAAGATCTGAAAAAACACAGCACTGTTCAAACAACATAAATATATACAGAAAGCTAGTAAATAAAACAAAGTGTCGCCCAAATGCTTACTTCGCCCATTGTTTTTGCTGATTCTGAAAGCACTTTTCTTCAGAAGTTTGAATGAAGATGGATGTAAGTACGTCGTGCAATCTGGAAACAAATAGTGATGAAAGAGTAGAGAGAGTATATAAATTCACTCTCTTTTATTTTTTTTAATCTCACTCCTTTCCTCTGGCTCTTGGTCACTCTCTTCTCTCTCTCCTTTCCTGGGGTGTGGGGATGGAAGCAGAAGAACATTTTAAGTTAGTAATAATGTTATTCTTAATATATTTTTGTATCGCAATTGTACACCATTTTAGGTGGCATCTGATATGAACAGTCGCATCATCTAAATTAATTAATATTTAATTTTAAAATGTTAATTAATAATTAATAAAAAGATTGTTAATTAAAAGATAATTGTGGTATAGGAAGAGTCTTCTTCTGCTATCTAATATTATTTAAGTGTTTTAATTAATAAAAAGATTGAAATTAAATGATGTAACTTGTTCAACTCATCTGTCACCTAAGATGGTAAAGAAATATGATACAAAATTGTGGTAAGAATAGCATTACCCTTTTAAGTTAAGTGAGAATTCTACGTGTCTGACGTGGATTTGTTTAATGCTGACTCAGCTTCTCACAAATTGCCCCCGTTTTCCTTCGAAACGACCTGCATGGTCATTCATAGTACTGTTGGTATTAAGGGCAGGGTAGGGACAAAAATCATTTTACCCAGAGAAAAGGTGAAAAGATGGTGACGAAGCAAGAGTGGAAGGATTATCTTTTGGTTAAATGTTTACGTAGTAATATACCTCTTTTTATTCATTCGTTTGGTATAAATTCAATCATTCAATTGCCCTCTTTAGCAGACCTGGACCAAGATTAACGATTATCGATTAACGACTACTCCACCGTCCCTTGCCTTGCCTCCTCCTCGCCGACCAAGATTAATTCCTGGGTCAAAGCAGTGTGACTAATGATTATATGTATAAACATACGTTGTCTTGCGTCACTAAAGGCGAAGGATTAGCTGGACCAAGATTGTCTTCTGATCTTCTTTGTACGGATTTGAAAATCAATTAATCGTATCCGTTTATTATACATCGTGCAATTAGTTTTCTCTAAATGTTATTTATAGTTTATTTTATATTTAAAATGATTTCTAACCGCACGATGTACAATGAACGTACTCGATTGATTGATTCTCTAGATCCCCATAAAAAGGATCTGGAGAGGATCCTATTCTAGACAACCTAGGACAATCTTTAACTCTTAGAGTAAAACTTAAATTTTAGGTTCTAAATTTATCCCAACTTACTTTAACTCTTAGGTCAAATATGATTTTTAACCAAAAATTCATCTCTAGGGCAAATTTAGCCCAGGATTCCCTCTAAGTTAGTGGGACTGGCCCACCATATATATGTAATTTTTGTTTTACCTTTTTAATTATAAATTCATTGAAATCAACAGTTAAGATTTAATATGATCAAATTTAATGGTAAAAAAAAAATTAATGATCCAAATTTAAATCTAATAGCTAAAGTAATTAAATTTTTTTATGTGTTTCAAATTCCTTCAGAGTGTTTTAAGTTTAATGGTGTCGGTTACAAAATTAAGTTAGGATAGTCTACATTTTTTTTTTTTTTGGAAAAGTTACTTTAAGAAAAAAATTATCCTAAATTTATTTTTCAATAATTTCCGGTTAAAAATTTAATCCTGAAGAGTTGGAGGAGAAAACTTTTTTCTAAATTGAAACCTAAATTTTCTAAATTAAAAATTTTAAATTTTAACCCAAAAGTTGAAGATGGTCTAAAAGCTCCTAACTTCAGTTTTGCAATCAAACAAAAAGTTTTCCGAATCAATTGTCAGCCAATAATCAACTTAGTTTGTCTCTTTGCCTTTACGTAGTCAACAATAATTGGACTTCGATAATTTTCACACTCTCGTATAGTTGTTTTATTATCCTTTGAATTCAATCTAAAATCTAGAAAATGAAGTGTGAGGAAAAAAAAAGAAAGTGCAAAATCACTTACCAATGATATACATACACATTCATTGGAGTTTAAAGCACACTATATGAAATGTATTCACTATTCAGGAATCAACTTAGTTTTTCTCTGCTTTCACGAGAAAATAGTAGTTTTAGATGAATAATTGAGATTGATTATTATGTTTCGAAAGATGACTAGATTATATTGAAGAAAGACAAAAGAAAAAAAGCATTATGTTCTCTCGATCGATCAGCACAAGAAAAAGATAAAGAATAAGAAAAACGACTATGTGGGGGAGGAAAATAAGGCTGTCACAGCCGACAGCTCCTCTTTCTCACTCACTTGGCAGGTGCTGTATATTTAAGTGCATATCTAGCCAGAAATATAAGATGGAGCCCAAGCGGTCCCCAGGGATTCCAAGCACCCATGTGATTATCATGTGGACAAAAAGCCCAGATCAACATCAGGGTCGGGCTGGGAAGTGGGAACCCGGGAAGGCCATCAGCATCCGGAAAGAGGTGGTGGAATCCAGCGGGACCCATCTCATGGAAGGCCATCAGCACGTGTGACTCTTTCTAAGTCTTTCCTCGTCTCTTGTGAATTGTGATGATAAACATTATCGTCATGTGTTTCTCCATGAAATGATCATGAAATTAGGAGTATTCGATCAAAAAATTGGGAGTTTTAACGAAAAATTCACGGTACTGTTTATTTTAAAGAAAAATCATATTTTTACACTAAAAAGTCAATCTTGGTACTATTCACTTTACCTTTTATTTTATCTTTATCATTAAAACACAAAATTTTCGAATTTTTTTTATTAATTTTCCTAAAAAATTATGTAATTATTAATAAATTAACCAGAAGAAAAGAAAGAAAGAAAAGGAGATTGGTATTTGGAGAGGGAAGGCCTGTCTTCATGTAACCAAGTTGGCACTTGGCACCCAATCAACCATCAAAGAATCCCATGCACTCACTGTATTTAACCAATTCTATATGAATGAAATGAATAAATACACGTTAGAATACTTTTGTATCAGTGATTCAGTATATAATCCATTTAAACATGCAAACTAACAGTTGGGAAATCGTTTGTTTGCCAAAGTCTGTTTGCAAACCCTAACAGCTGCCTATTTACCAAAAACAAAACCAAAGCAGGTATTAGACTAACCAGCTGATCAAAGTAAGCACTCAAGACTCAACTCACACAATTACCAACTAATTAAAATTTTCTATTTATGGCATTATGTGATTCACACGAATATATAGCCCAAATGAGTTTAGGTATATGCTACACGCACGCACAAGGAAGGGGAAGAAGAAAAAAGGGAAGGCGAAAGCAGCTGAGCATTATATGGATCAAAAGGTGATTCGGATATCTAATTAGAATCCTGAAAGCAAAAGCTTGTGATAATTCCACGACACATGCATTTCATATGTTGGAAAGTGGTGAAAGTGGTCGCAACTTGATAGATGAAATGTGCCAACAGAAAACGAAATTTAAAAGGGCATTAAGTTGCCTAGTGGTCCTTTGCAGCTTGTGATAATTCTACTTCTCATGTATGATATCTGTGATAGTAGGCGAGACTATACACTTTGGTAGGCTCACTCAGTTGCCTAGTTGCCTAGCGTAGCCACCACTAGCAACCTTGGGGTTTGAGTTGGACTCGTGTAGGGATATATATTTTTGCTCTCTGTGAAACTTTTTCCCTTCAGCTGCTGAATTGAATGGACAAGGATTGTCTGCCCTTCTATTTTCGATATCCTTCTGTTTTATGTGCTCATGGTTAATTAAGCTACGTCAACATTTTATATTATTTTTTTATAGAAATAATAAGATAAAAATGAATAGTAATATAAAATGTTGACGTGGCTTAACCGTGACCACACAAACAGGAGGGTACGGGAGGGCACCGAAAGTGGGAGGATAGACAATCCTTTGCCGAATTGAATTGCAATAGCAACTTCTTCTTTTCAAATGGGACCAATATATGGGACACAACAACACCATTCAGATTTTAAAGGGATCAAAATGTAAAGAACTTCACTCTTTATATTTCTCTACTCAATGGAAAGAGAAATCTATTAAACATCGAATAGAAACATTTACATCTCTTCTACAAATAAGATAGACGAGCGGAAATATGTTAACTTTCATGTGTTATATATGTATGGACACAGCTGATCAATCCCTTGTACAGTGCACTGACAATAAAATATGGTTATTGGTTGCATGGTTTTATGAATCAGTGTCTGAGTGGGAATATGTTAACTTTTGTCATCTGGAGCCCATGCTTTGATCATCCACGCTAAATTCCACATATGTGATGCATCATGTATGTACGTATGCTGGTAAATCGAAACCCCTAGTTCTAAAATGATGACCTATCAATTGAATCGAAGTCGTTATCCTAAGTACTAGATGTGTCTCCATAAGTACGGATTAACAAACAAAACTTCATATAGCTAGTCAAAGATGGGTGTCACTTGTTACTTATGATCCATAATTGCACTTGACCAAACTATTGACCTTACAATATAGTTTTTTTTCTCAATTAATTTGACGATCTTGAAATAATATTGGCAGCCCTCCTATCCAACAAACTCTATGTGAACTTTAACAATTATATTTAACTTAGGATGTAATTTTATTTTAATAATGGAATCATAATTAATCATTTACTTAAAATAATATTGGCAGGAAGTTGGAAAGTATGGAAGGTGAGGTGGGTGAATTACAGCCAGCATATGCATCTGCAAGAAATTGCAACTTTTGCCGATCGTTAGAAAGTCACAATCATCGTAACCACAACACTCAATTATTATAGCGAGAAAATTTTCACTACATTTAGAATACAAAGTAATATATCACGTGCTATTGTAAAAATAATGAGTTATTTGAGTTAAAAAATTAACAATTTACAAAATAAAACCTCATACCACTTACACGAGAAATTTTTTCTTGTTATCAAAATACGGATGGTACACCACATGTATCTATATAAGTGGTGAAAAATTGTACTTTTGAAGTTATTAACTTTTTAACATACATATCTCACTATTTTTATAGTTATACGTTGTATACCACTTCGTATTCCGATTACACTAAAAAATTTCTCGTGCTTACACGTGGTGTACTTTGTATTATGGGTACAATCTTTTGTCCACCATAGCATGAAATCGGATTAGGATACTCTCCTAATCTAAGGATGAGGATCCTCATGACTAACGGATGTGGGCCGTTGGATTTTCATCCAACGGTTATAATTATTATAACTTTAAAGGGACCCCCCTATTTGTAGCAGTTGGATTTTCATCCAAAGGCCCACATCCCTTGGTTATGAGGATCCTCATCCTTAGATTAGGAGAGGATCCTTGTCCCATGAAATCAACCTTCCAATATCAACGTGTTCGCATCCCATTGGCCCTATGTACGAACTATTGTGCGCTCTGTCTCTTTTTCACTCTTCCTTAACAAGCAATTTGTCATAATTTTTTTAAGGTAATTTGTGTAGTGAAAAAAAATCATTTGATAACTAATTTAATCACATTATTATTTACGGGCAAAAGACCTTTTTTATAACTGGCATTACACGCTTCTTAAGATGTTTTGAACTTGTTTAAAAATACATAAAATAATATTGAATGAACAACTGTTTTAATCACATTATTGCTAGCCTATTGTGAGGATACTAATTAAAAAAAGTACAAAAAAAATTTAATTATTAAAAAAAAACTAAAATGACGAAAATACCCCTGCATTATTTGATGCATTATTTTGGTATACCTTTGAAGTTTTTTTGTCGTAGGGGCATTTTTGTCCAATATTTTTTGTTGAAGCTTGGTGACACCAAAAACAATATTCACGTTTTGAATGTGTTTATATACATGAATTGTTTTCATAATTTTTTTATGAAAAAAAAAATGTCAAAAATTTGAACTAAATGAATAATATAAGACCATACTAGAAGAAACTCCTCATAAACTAATCAAAGCAGCTGAATCCACATTATTAAAAATGGTATTTCAATTTCCATCTACATTTTATTGAATTTACATTAAGATTAGAAAAATAATATTTAATAAACAACTGATTGCTAGCCCATTGTGAGGCTAAGTCCACTCCTTTCCCTTATGGCGCGTTTACGTAATCATAATCAAAATAGAGGAATTGGATTGATGAGGAATTGAATTGAGGAGGAATTAGATTGAGGAGGAGTCAGAATTGGATTCCTGTTGAAGTTGTTTACTTAAATGTTCTAGAATCGGAGTAAAAATGAAACGAAATTCATATAAGTTGTTTACTAGCTTAGCCACCACCAGAAACCTTGGGGTTTGAGTTGGACTCGTGTCGAGAAATATATTTTTGCTCTCTATGAAACTTTTTCCTTCAGCTGAATTGAATTGCAATATCAACTTCTTCTTTTCAAATGGGACCAATATATGGGACACAACAACGCCATTCAGATTTTAACGGGATCAAAATGTACAAAACCTCACTCTTTATGTGTCTGAGTGGGAATATGTTAACTTTAGTCATATGGAGCCCACGCATTTTGAATTTTGATCATCCACGCCAAATTCCACATATGTGATGCGTCATGTATGTACGTATGCCGGTAAATCGAAACCCCTAGTTCTAAAATGATGACCTGTCAATTGCATCGAAGTCGTTATCCTAAGTACTAGGTGTGTCTCCATAAGTTTGGATTAACAAACAAACTTCATATAGCTAGTCAAAGATGGGTGTCACTTGTTACTTATGATCCATAATTGCACTTGACCAAACTATTGACCTTACAATAAAGTTTTTTTTCTCAATTAATTTGACGATCTTGAAATAATATTGGCAGCCCTCCTGTCCAACAAACTCTATGTGAACTTTAACAATTATATTTAACTTAGGATGTAATTTTATTTTAATAATGGAATCATAATTAATCATTTACTTAGAATAATATTGGCAGGAAGTTGGAAAGTATGGAAGGTGAGGTGGGTGAATTACAGCCAGCATATGCATCTGCAAGAAATTGCAACTTTTGCGGATCGTTAGTGTCACATCCCGGCCCGGGTGGGACGACTTCCCGGGCCCGCTCCACCACCGTAGCACGATATTGTCCGCTTTGGGCCCCGACCACACCCTCACGGTTGTGTTTTTGGGAACTCACACGAGAACTTCCCGATGGGTCACCCATCCTGGGAGTGCTCTCGCGCGCTACTCGCTTAACTTCGGAGTTCCAATGGAACCTGAAGCCAGTGAGCTCCCAAAATGCCTCGTGCTAGGTAAGGATGGGAATATACATATAAGGAACACTCCCCTAGGCGATGTGGGATGTCACAATCCACCCCCCTTAGGGGCCCGACGTCCTCGTCGGCACACCACGACCAAGGTTAGGCTCTGATACCAAATTGTCACATCCCGGCCCGGGTGGGACGACTTCCCGGGCCCGCTCCACCACCGTAGCACGATATTGTCCGCTTTGGGCCCCCACCACGCCCTCACGGTTTTGTTTTTGGGAACTCACACGAGAACTTCCCGATGGGTCATCCATCCTGGGAGTGCTCTCGCGCGCTACTCGTTTAACTTCGGAGTTCCAATGGAACCCGAAGCCAGTGAGCTCCCAAAATGCCTCGTGCTAGGTAAGGATGGGAATATACATATAAGGATCACTCCCCTGGACGATGTGGGATGTCACAGTTAGAAAGTCACAATCATCGTAACCACAACACTCAATTATTATAGCGAGAAAATTTTCACTACATTTAGAATATAAAGTAATATATCACGTGCTATTGTAAAAATAATGAGTTATTTGAGTTAAAAAATTAACAATTTACAAAATAAAACCTCATACCACTTACACGAGAAATTTTTTCTTGTTATCAGAATACGGATAGTACATCACATGTATCTATATAAGTGGTGAAAATTTGTATTTTTGAAGTTATTAACTATTTAACATACATATCTCACCATTTTTATAGTGATACGTTGTGTACCACCCTATGTACGAACTATTGTGTGCTCTGTCTCTTTTTCACTCTTCCTTAACAAGCAATTTGTCATAATTTTTTTTAAGGTAATTTGTCATATTATAAGTGGTGAAAAAAAATCATTTGATAACTAATTTAATCACATTATTATCTACGTGCCAAATGTCTTTTTTATAACTGGCATTACACGCCTTTTAAGATATCTTGAATGAACAGTTGATTGAATCAAATTATTGTTAGCCTATTAGGAGGTACCAATTTAAAAAAAAAGTACAAAAAAAATTAATTATTAAAAACTACTGTTAAAATGATGAAAATACCCTTGCATTATTTAATGTATTATTTTGGGATGCCTTTGAAGTTTTTTTTATCTTGGGGGCATTTTTGTCCAAATATTTTGGTTGAAGCTTAATGACCCCAAAAACATTATTCACCTTTTGTGTGGCTTCAATATAGATAGATAGATAGATAGATATTGCTCTCTTCTCTCTTTCTCTTTGCTTTGTTCCACCGAATTGTATTCCTATTTTTATATATTTTGGTATAAATATGTATATATAATTATAAAAGAAAATTAATGAAAAGTTCAATTTTTTTTATAATTTTAATAAAAAATGATAAATAAAGGTGTAGTAAATAGTATCAGAAAAATATGAAAATATGATTTTTTTGTTAAAAATAAATAGTATCAGGAATGTTTCGATAAAACTTTCTTATTATAAAAGTCGGTTTCGTGAGAGCAGTCGTCCCATTCAATCATTTTAGTTCAGAAGTTCTCGTTCAGATCCGAGCCTGAGAGCATCCACTACTGCAATGGGGGAAAAGGAAAAGGCACGCACCTCGCTCGCTCTCTCTCGCTCTCTCTCTCTCTTTGTTACCGATTTTGCCACGTACCTTCACCATGATTAGCACTGTTCCACTTCGTTTTGTCTACACTTTTGCACAACAATCTTCTGTATTATTAATATATTGTCTAAAGATTCATTCTTGTCAATCGTTCGTTAATGTACATATTGTTTCTATTAATATTAAAAATGGATAATTCAGGTTAGGACTATGGAGCTGAAGGTGGATCTTCAGTGTCACAAATGCTACAAGAAGGTCAAAAAAGTTCTTTGTAAATTCCCTCGTGAGTCTCTCTTTTCCTTGATTCATCTATAGTTATTTGATGAAAATAAAAGTTAAAGTTCTTTATTTTTGGGAAGATAAGATTAATTTAGATTAAATGTAAACTGAGTAAATTAATATGTGTTTGTGAACAAAAGAAATACGAGACCAAATATACGACGAGAAGCAAAACCACGTGGTGATCAAAGTGGTATGCTGCAATCCAGAAAAGATTAGGGACAAGATTTGCTGCAAAGGCGGGAATGCCATCAAATGCATCAAGATCAAAGAGCCCGAGAAGCCCAATGATGCAAGCCCACAGATGACAAGCACAACCCTAAAGGTGTCTGCGAGCTTAATGTGACTGTAAGCGTAATGTGACGACAAACCTAAATGTGACGGCAAGCCTAAATGTGACGGCAAGCTTAAAGGTGACGGCAAGCCTAAATGTGACTGTAAGCCTAAATGTGACGACAAACCTAAATGTGACGATAAGCCTAAAGATCATGTTGTGCCAGTGTGCCCACCACCTAAAGATCATGTTGTGCCAGTGTGCCCACCGCCTGTCCGAGCGTGTTGTATGGATTGTTGCCAGGGGCATGCAGGTGGGTCGTGCTGCAGTGGTTATGGTGGCAAGAAAAAAGATGACTGCAAGCCTAAAGATCCTGTTGTGCCAGGGTGCCCACCGCCAGTCCGAGTATGTTGTATGGATTGTTGCCAGGGGCATGCAGGTGGGTTGTGCTATAGTGGTTATGGCTGCAAGAAAAAAAATGACTGCAAGCCTAAAGATCCTGCTGTGCTAGGGTACCCAATGCATGTCCGCACATGTTGTATGGATTGTTACCAGGGGCATGCAGATGGGCCGTGCTATAGTGGTTGTGGCGAGCGGCTGTGCTACAATGGCTATGGCGGGGGACCAGTCCCGTACATCCATTATGTTGGTTACTATGGGAGGCCTGTGTATGACAGTTATGGCGGTGGCAGCAGGGGGTATTGTGAAGAAAATCCCTCAGCTTGCACAGTCATGTAAATCATCGATCATCTTGTTGGACCATGACACCTACTTCAATCACGGGATAATATTTCAGCAGTGTTTGTTGGTTGATATTAATATTATAGGAAAACGAATGAAAAAAAAAAAAAAAAAACTTTAGTTTTAATGTAAAATGACAAATAAAGGTGGTTTTTCATTAAAACTTCCTATAATTATAGGAGGGCCATGTATATTGTTAAGTGAATAATAAAGTTGGTGGTTGTCAAGTCACATGAACATTGTCAAGTCACAATCACGTTAATATGTTCTTTAAATCATTAATATAGACTATAGAGAGAAAGAGATACATTCCATCTTGAAGATGAAGATGAAGTTGGTGCTTGCTATAATTTTCAATGCGATATAAGTTTTCATTCCACGTTCCCTTCTTTGTACTGCACAGTGCACGTGCGTTATTAGTTATTTCCTATTTCGCAAGTTGATTTTCATCATGATATGTGAACAAAGGAATCTAGCTACCTTCCTCATTTGCATTTTTCACTTATCCTTCTCATTTATTAAGTGTAACATGAATTCTATTAACACAAACAAAATTTTTATTTCTTTTTAAAAACTCATTATTATTTTTCTATATTTACCTTTATTCCAAAATCTAACCTTTTGTTCTCTCCTACCACAGCATGTTCTAATCTAAACTATTTTTTTCTTCTTTCATTACCAAAAACAAAAACCCACCCAAAAGCAATCTCTTGGTTTCTCATAACTTATATGAGTTACACTAGTTGATCAGGATAGTGTGTTTCAATCCACATAAGTTTCCAACCCAGAAGCAAACCCTTGGCCTTCCAGGGCTTATATGAGTAAACTAAAGAATGAAATTTAGCTACCATTGCTCGTCTAACAATGCTCAACTATTTTATTATTTTCAGTCCCCACATTGTTAGATTCTACCATAAACTAAAGAGTAGTTAGAGAGATTAAATTTGTAAACTAAATGATATGAAAGTTGATGATTGGATTATTACTTAAGTGTTAATAACACATCATTTAATTTGTAAATTTTATTTACAAATTTAGTTTCCTAACATTACCCTAAACTAAACAAATCCTTGATCCCTCGCCCCCTCCAAATGTCGACAAGAGAGAGAGAGAGAGAGAGCAGCAGCAATAACCTAGATACGTGTGTAATAATGTGTTCCCAAAAAAAAGAACTACTCCTAGGCCTGCTTTTCATTCCTGCTTTTGTTTGTTCGAGAATTAATTGATATGTTTATACAAAAATAAGCAAAAGCTAAAACCCCACGTGTCTAATCCAACACCATGTTTGTATTCTGGCTGATACCGTTTCTACAAAACCCTCCATTTTCTAACGGCTCGTAACATTTTTCTGCCTCTACAACAAATTCTTATGCTCAATAATTAATTTAATTTTTTTTTCTCAAAATTTGTGAGCTAATATTTACGGTTTTTTGTTGAGTTTGAGAATTTTTTATAATAAGTATATTATTCTTATGTTAAAATCCAATCCAACGTGCATTGTTCACGGACAGTGTGCAGACGAAAATGCCCTCCAAAAAAGTTCGTTCTTAGCGTTTTCTACCAGCTTCTCTACAGTAAAAAGATGGTTATGCCCTTTGTGTCCACATGTCTCCCATCGCCGTGTTCTCTTCGTGCATCTAGTGTCTTCTCGATGTTTTTGTTGTTTTTCACTCAATTTGGTCGAGTAGCTTCCCCATTATTTTTATTAGGGTGTACATTCGGCTTTTCATCTCCAAATAATTTTTTAAATTTGGTTCCCTTATGGCTCGGATTGTTGGAAATGTGCCCTAAAACCAATCATATGATGATACTTTACGGACATTTCAAACTAATGTAGTTTAAAGGGCAAACATTATTGTTTGAGCCGTCTAATATAAATGTTATATGCTTAAACGATAAGTCCAAGGAATATGTGATTGGAAGAATGCGATCTAAAGAAGTTAGATTCATGAGACCATTCTTTCGTTGACACATCCTAAACGTTCCTGATCATAGGATTGTCAATTGGGCATTGACAGTCCGTTAAGATCAGTACGTGCTATGTCTTCTCTCAGGGAGAGTGACTAGTCTCGAGTCATTGGTGTGTGTGACATCAAGACAAGTACGTAGGTGCTCAATAGAGAATGAGTTCACTGAACACGATCAACGAAGAGTTCTCATATTCATGTCACATGAGAACTCATGGTTGGGATAATGCAAATTAGTCTTTTGACCTGAGGCATCACAGTTGTCTTGTGGTTAGGTCCTTAATCTTTGATTATGTCAACGTCACTCTATCAGGGTGTCCACGGCATCGTTGGGGTTAAGCCACTTAGCCATGGAGGCAAGTGAATGCGCAACAAGGGATCTCTAACCTTCAAACTGTTTGAGGGAGAATACTCTATGATATGATTTGGAATCTCTGGCCAGAGTATGAATGAGATGTTGGAATGCGTTCCAGATCACATTCAAGGTAATCATATAAGCACAAGATTCACATTGGATAGTAGACATGAATAAACTATCAATCCAAACAATGTGGTCAAGAGTATTGTATTAGAGAAAGACCGTATTGCATTTGTAATCCTAAACTGAATAGGTTCTCCACCTCTTCTGATTAGCTTGGGTAACCATGATATGCTGCTAGGTGTCACTCATGGTTTGTGGAAGCCCTAAAAGTGTATTATCATTAACGGGAGAATTGAAAGTAAGTTTCAATTCACAATCGATTTGAAAGAGTTTGAATCGCCCACTGCCTCGCTAAAAAGAACCTAATGGATCGTACACCGTGTAAGGTAGAGTTTGAAGATTCAACGGAGATGAGTAAGAATAATTAAATGGTTTAATTATTTATGGCAAAGATTAATTAATATGATTATTAATCAAACGAATAAGTTCGTTGAAGACCTCGGGATAGTTTTGGACCTTAAGGCCCAATGGGCTTCGAACGTCAAGCCCATTGACTTAAGTTGTATGACAACTTAATGAATAATGATTCACAAAGGCCCAAATAGCCCAAATAATCCCCATAGGCCGGCCATTTAGAGGAGGGTAGTGAACTTGGCTTAATTGCAAGTTTGCCACTCCATTGTGAGGTGGTATAAAGACATCTTTATAGCCATTTCATCCTAAGGGTTTTCTAAGGGTTATTTTGGGGGAAAGGATGAGAACACAAGCTCTCTTTTCTCTCTAAAATTTCAGCCACCCTTGAGGAAAACATCTAGCAATCTTACTTCCTCAAGGTCACTCATTTCTTCTCCAATCTTACCTTGGTGTGGAGACTTAGAGGTTCTCAATTTTGGGAACTTGGAGAATCCTTTTCATCCATTCAAATCCATGGATCTAAGATGCAAGGAATGAAGGCCCTCTCTTTGGGTGATTAGCCTTTGCTTATGCAAAGAGGAATCTACAAAGGTATTGATTTCTCAACTCACTTTGTTTTGAGTTGAGTCTTGATTCACCTATCTACTAGGCTTTGAATTTCATGGGTAAATGTTTTGTTTTAAGTGCATACAAGCATGATTCCGCCTTTAATATGTTAATTGCATGCTATTGATGTTGCTTAAATGAACATGTTTTTCACAAATATTCCTTCAAGTGGTATCAAGAGCCTAAGTCTAGTAGTTGGTGAATCCTTTTGGGTTTTGTAGTTCATAGTTTGTGATTTGAATGTTGTAATTGTTACAAGCTTTATTCTTGCTTCTTTGAATGTAAATTTTGTTAGAAAATTTGCCATCTCAAATGTTGTAGATGTAGTTCATATGAGCATGAATAATGGAACTAAAAGTTGGTGCCAAGTGTTTTGGGAAATTCGGCCAAATCCAAAGGGTGATTTTTTGGGTTCATGTTAGGCTTGTTAAAATGGTTTTAAAGTGCTTTTTGGAACCCCTAAGTACCCTAGGATATTAACCCTCTTTTGAGTTGTGAAAATTTGAGTTTTTGATGAAAGAAAACATCCATGGAGCTATTATGAGTTTTCATGTATGTTCTTCATATTTCTTGAAGTTCTTATCAAGAACAAAAAGTTTTGAAGTTTTGATTCAAAAGTTTTATGTTTTACATAAAGTTTTGATTATTAGTTGATGGGTGATGATTATGTCAAAGATATAATTTTGATTATTAGTTAATGGGTGATGATTATGTCAAAGATATAATTTTGAATATTAGTTGATGGATGATGTTTGTTGGTAAGAAATAATTAAATGTTTTTAATTATATCAAAGGTATATTTTCTTTTCAAACCATCCCCACCATCTTTAATCTCACCCACCAAAATCCACTTACAAAATTCTTTTTATCAAAAATCTCTATGTTACTATCCTATGGCCGGCCACCCCTCTAGTGGGGTGCTTTTGTGCAATTAAATAAAGTTTTGATACTTTTGTGTATTTGTATTTTGACCCAAAAGTTTGTGTTTTTTGCAAAATGGCCCAAATAGAATGAGAACAAAAATTGTTTTGTCTCTTTAATGAGAATTGGATTTTCATTATATTTAGTTCCATTTAAATCAATTCTATGGATACAAAAACCAAATGAAAATGTTGCATTCAAGTTTAATTAGTTAAAGCGTTAATTAATTAAAGAAAGGGTGATTATGAACCTTAGCCTACGATAATTGAGCTATGTGAAAGGCCGTTTCAAATTTGTTTGAACCATGGGAATGTGTAGATTAAATTTTGGTTGTAATTTGATTTGATCAATTGTTGTAAAAGAGCATAAGCTCTTATTTACTTTGAAGTACTCATTTCTTGTTTTATTCGATATGCATGAAATTGGAGTAGTTGGGTCCAACGCCCAATAAGACAACACGCCTTAATGTGATTAAACGCGTAACTAAAATCAATCTCCATCCCTAGACCGAGATTCAACACTAGGCTCGTGTTGAATCGAATCAAAGGTTCATAGTCATCCTAAGGCCCTAAGGCAACTATATAGTCCATAAATGAATGCAAACCTTATGTTAGTAGTATCATATACTCTTGCTTTAAAAACCGTTTTAAAAGCTTAGTGGGAGTATTATATACAACTAAATCAATCAAATGGACCAATAGTTGTAATAGGACCAAAATGTTTTAATTGGATTAAAATGTATGTTTATATGTGATGAGACCTAAAACCCTCAACCAAATCAATATTAAGTTGATAAGCGAGAGATGCTTTGAATATCTCTTCGTGGCCTTCCACCGTGGTAGGCTCCAATCGTTTGTGACTTGTACACCGGCTTCACCCTATAATGGGGGAGTACAAAGTGC